AGTGGTACCATGGGGGCCGGCGTTAGGCAGGGGCAGGTCTTCCTTCGCAGCTTCGTCATCCTCCTCCTCCTCCTCCTCCTGAGTGGGATCCCGGCCCCGCGCCGCGCCGCCGGGCAACTACGCTACTCGGTGCCGGAAGAGCTGGAGCATGGCGCCTTCGTGGCCAACCTCGGGGAGGACCTGGGGCTCGACGTGTCCACCCTGTCAGCGCGGCGGTTCCGCATCGTGTCGCGGGCCGGTGCCCGGCAGCACCTGGAGGTGAACCTGGAGAATGGGATCCTCTTCGTGAACGAGCGTATTGACCGGGAGGAGGTGTGTGAGGTGGGGGGGACCTGTCTGCTCCACCTACAGCTCCTCGTGGAGAGCCCGCTGGAGCTTTACCGTGTCGAGGTGGAAGTGGAAGACATCAATGACCATGCACCCACCTTCCCCTGGATGGAGTATGTGCTGGAGGTGGCTGAATCTGCTGTGCCTGGTGCCCGCTTTCCACTTGAGAGTGCCCAGGACCCTGACGTAGGCACCAACTCTGTGCGCACCTACCAGCTCAGTCCGAATGGTTTCTTCTCCCTCGAAGTGCAGACACGCAGTGACGCCAGCAAGTTTGCAGAGCTGGTGCTGGAGCATGCCCTGGATCGTGAGCAGCAACGCACGCACCGGGTGCTGCTCACCGCCTTTGATGGTGGTGTTCCTGAGCGCTCAGGCACAGCCCACATCCTTGTCACTGTGCTGGACGCCAACGACAACGTGCCTGCCTTTGAGCAGCCTTCGTACAGAGTGAGCCTGCCTGAGGATGCTCCTGCTGGCACTCTGGTCATCCAGCTCAATGCCACTGACCTGGATGAGGGCTCCAATGGAGAGATCGAGTACTCGTTCAGTGGGCATGCACCACCGCGTGTCCGTGATCTCTTCCGTGTGGAACCCCGCAGTGGCCAAGTGTTGTTGAAGGGCCCTCTGGACTATGAGCGTGCCAGCCTCCATGAGCTCTACGTGCAAGCTAAGGACCGTGGGCCCTCAGCTGTTGCTGTGCACTGTCGGGTCCTTGTGCACCTCCTTGATGTGAATGACAATGCACCAGAGGTGACCCTCACCTCTGTGTCCACACCGGTAGTGGAGGATGCCCCACCGGGCACTGTCATCGCTGTCATCAGTGTCCTTGACAGGGACTCTGGGGAGAACGGGCGAGTGAGCTGTGAGGTGAACCCTGATGTGCCCTTTGAGCTCCGATCCTCCTTCCGCAACTACTACACTCTAGTCACCACAGAGGCACTAGATCGAGAGACTGTACCTGAATACAATGTGAGTATCACAGCCCGGGACATGGGCTCACCTGCCTTGCTGACCCGCAGCACCCTCACTGTGCCAGTGTCCGATGTGAATGACAATGCACCGCGCTTCATCCAGCCCTCATACAGCGTCTACGTGATGGAGAACAATGCACCAGGAGCCTCCATCTGCTCTGTCAGTGCGCTGGACCCTGACTGCCAGCAGAATGCCTACCTGTCCTACTCCATTGCTGATGGGCACATCCACGGCATGCCTGTGGGCACCTACGTGTCTATCAACTCGGACAGCGGTCACATGTATGCCCTGCGCTCCCTTGATTATGAGCAGATCCGCAGCTTTCAGATCCAGGTGCAAGCGCAGGATGCAGGTTTTCCCCCACTCAGCGCCAATGTCACTGTCCATGTCTTTGTGCTGGACCAGAATGACAATGCGCCTGTCATCATCTCACCCATGCCACGCAATGGCTCGGTGGCCACTGAGCTGGTGCCGAGATCAGCCGGGCCTGGCTACCTGGTGGGCACAGTGTCAGCAGTGGATGCAGATGCGGGACTGAACTCCCGCCTCTCCTACCAGCTCCTCCAGGCCACTGACTTCACGCTCTTCAGTGTGGCACCGGACACAGGTGAGCTGCGCACCCTCCGCTCCTTTCTGGAGCAGGATGGGACCCGACAGAGACTGGTGGTGCAGGTGAGAGACAGTGGACAGCCAGCCCTCTCAGCGACGGTCTCCATCCTGCTCTCAGTGGTGGAGAACATGCCCCAGACCCTCTCTGACTTCAGCGACTTCAGCCTCCCCCCGGAGGCCTCCTCCTCCTCACCACTCACCCTCTACCTCCTCGTCTCCCTGGGCTCAGTCTCCCTCACCTTCCTCCTTGCCATCCTCATCCTCATGGCCATCCGATGCCGCAGGGAGGGACACTCCTGGCAAGGCAGTGGCTGCTCACCACCCCACTGCCGCTGCTGCCCTGGGCCCAACGCCTCCTCTGATGGCCTCAAGACGTCGAACTTTGCCGTGCAGCTCCCCACGGGTGCAGCGCCTGCTGCCTGCCTGGACATGCCTGCTGGTGGCCCCCCAGGCTACTGCTACAAGGTTTGTCTCAGCCCAGAGTCCGCCCAAAGCGACTTCATGTTCCTCAAACCCTGCAGCCCTCCCCGCAACAACGAGAAGGATGCCAGGCACCTCCCGGCTCCTGGCAAGAGGGCCCGATCTGGCCAGCAGCTCCAGATCTCCAAGCAGGTAAAGCTGGGGCATGGGGCGTGTTGATGCCTAAGGGGCTCTGGCAGATTCCACCCACCTGTCCCTCTCCCCAAAAGACCTCTGCCCTCAGCCTTTGGTGTGGGAGACACTGGATGCAACTTTTTCCAAGAAAATAACCCCAGCCTTTGATCAGTTCAGGAACTAGCAGCCACCAGACAGTGAGAAATTCTCTGCCAAATTCCCCTGCGGCTCTAATTACTGGGGGAAATGGCAGGCTCCATTGAGACGGGTGGAAATATCCCCCCCACCGCCCTCCGCACACATTAGAGGCAGCAGAGATGCTCCTGTGGCCCGGGGGAATGCGGGAGTGGCGGAGGTGTATTCTCCTCTGTCTCAGTTTGGCAATTCTTGGTGGGACCCCACCTCTCTCCCTCAGCACTTCTCCGCTCCGGGAATGCGGGGGCTGGAGGGGTGAGTGGGTAGTTCACAGCGCCATGGAGCCTCTGCGGGGTCCCCGGGCGCAGGGCCGCCGCGTCCCACTGCGCAATGCGGGACTGGCCTGCAGCCCCGGCCCCGCTCGGATGAGTCCCCGGTCCTGCCCCCTCTGCCGCTCCTCTGAGCCTCGGTCCAGCCACAGAGACTGCAGCTTCTCCCACCATGGCCGCTGTGCAGCGCAGGCCAAGCCCCCGGGGAGGGCATCGGGAAGCCAGGGGTGGTGGGGAGGTGTTGCTGTCCACAGTTGTTAATATTGAAACGAGATGTCTAATTTCTGCGATGGACGAGTCTTTTGGAAACACCATTACAGGGATAGAGAGGGCTGAGGCATCTAATCCAATTACAATATTTGACTTTTAATAAAAAAAAACCCTTCCAAGAGGGGCCCGACTCCCTCTCGGGCCAACAGACCCTCCTGGTCCATCACCTGCATTTCTTAATGCCTAAAACTTCCCCCAGTCACTTACAACTCTCCTATTTTTACTCCACTCCCTCTTCCCCCAGCCACTTTCTGCACCTCTCACATTTGCTTCAGACCTGGGCTAAGCTGCCGTTACTTGTGGGGAAAACAAACAAACAAACCAAAAAAACGTCCAAAATGAACAGAATTAGGAAAAGTGTCCCTCATTCAAAAGGACAGAATTGACGATTACACCTCATAGACAGAGCCTAAGCCCCAGGCCACCTGAATGTCTGAAAGGGTGGGAAAGGTCTGTAAGGGAATGGGCTGATTGAGCTCTTCTTCAGTTTCCCTATGGAAATGGGTATGGACTGCTTGCCTCCCTGCAAGGGGAATGAGAAGAGTGGGCGATGCAGGCTGCCTACCCTGGTTTCCAGAGCCTGATGTGGTCAAAGCTGGACTGATCAACAGAGACCCTGTTAAGCAGCCTTTCCTTTCCGTGTGTTTTCCAGATTAAACAGCCGAATACAGACTGGCTGCCTCCAAGTATGCAGCGACCTGCCCTCAAGAGGTATTTGATCTGGCAGGTTGGGAATGGAAGGGGCAGGTGGAAGAGGTGTGTGAAGGCAGAGAAGTTTGAATCACTCTTTTGCCTTTAGTTCCCAGAGCCTGGAAGACATGGGGGAAATTCGCAGAGCCCTTCAGAAGGAACATGAGAGGTTGTGCACGCTGATGACTCCTGTCTCTGGTTAGTACTGGGGTACTGGGGCTGGAGAGCTTCTTGTCACCTAGTGGAGATGTGAAGGGGGACAAACCTTTGCTTGTGGCAGTAGTTGGGTAGTGTGTATGTCTCAAGGGGAAAAGATGTGTGTACCCCAGAAGGGAAGGATGATGGCATGTGACCATGGGTGCAAGGGACATGGATCTGATCACTCCCCCCACATTGAACAGTGGAATGTGACCTCCTCTGAGCTGGTTTCACACATATCTTTCCTCCAGAATTTCAGAAAGCCTCAGCAGGCACCAACAGCATCTGGACACCTCAGTATGGCCCTCTGTACCCAGGACAAATACAGGCCCTGGATTATCAACACAATGTCTACATACCTGGCACCCCCACCCTGATTTCCAGCAAAGATGGGCCCCTCTTCCTGGGCCGGGAGGACAAGAACAGCTTTTCCACCTTTGGCAAGAAAAAGAAAATGACAACCTATTGTGACATGCATGACAACATGGTTATCAACAATGATCTGAAATAGTGGCTGGGGTTGAGTCTGAATGGCTCCGCTCAAGGTCTTGGAGGTTGCTTACATTATTTCAGCTACAAAGTCCATCCAGAGCAAGTAAACTCACATATGAACCACTTGGGATCCCACAGGGCTGCCAAGACTGTGGTTCACCAGGGCGTACTGAAAGGTTTTCAGGAGCAAGAGACTAGGGGTGGAGTGGGGGGATGGTCCTCCTATCTCATTCTACAGGACAGTGTTGGCAGTGGGTGGTGCTGGGGGTCTGCTGACCTGTTCAGCAAATCTGCCTTGAGTTTATCCATTGCCATGTCCTTCTAGGGACAGTCCTCTGTAAACATTATTGTCTCTTTGTCTTGTCTGGCTATGTGAATGTACTGAGCTGCACGCATGTATTTCTGCCCCAGAAGGCATGGGAAGGGGATCTCCACACAAAGACTAAGCCTGATCCAGTCCAGCCTGGCCCTACACATGTATTTTGATATAGCACCAAGACCTATTGGGATGTACTGCCTGCTCAGAGCAGCCACCAGTGCCTGGTTTCTCCAGGAAGTGAGGGCAAACCCCATCCATCATGGGTGCTTCCCTTTTGACTGTGATCCAACACTTTCAGGGCTGGAGATCTGGAGCCCAGGACAAAACTGGGGTCCAGGTCACCACCAGTTTCTGTTCTCTGCGCAGTACGGGATGGAGCAAAACCACACTTGATATCCAGAATATCTATTAGCTTAAGAGGCTGGGCGATGCACAGCAAGAGGCAGGCCCTCCTGGGGTTCTCTTTAGGCCAAAGTGACATCATTTGGAAATTTCCAGATATCAGAAGCAGCCCCAAATGGGTGATATTCCCCTTCCCTGCTCTTTCCACCCACCCTCACCCGGATCTCTGCCTTCCTCAAGCCCAGAAGCCCTGGAGAGAACCTCTGCCTTGGGGGCTCCTCACATTTTCTTATATGCATGAGGCAGACATCTCCCTCTGTGCCCTGCTTCTTTCTGAGGACTTTTAGCAAGCCATCAGGGGCCCTTAACGGCAGAACTCCATCCCTAGAAGAATATCTTCTGCTGCTCCACTCACCCTGGGGAGCAGAGAGAGCCGAAGAACCCTATGAAGGGATGAGCCAAACTGGAAGCCTGCTAAGTTCATTTTCAGGTTATCTTGTCCATCAGTTCTGTCCCTGTCCAGGTCAAGGGCAGAAGGAGGGAGAGGAGGAAATGGTGGGAACCTGATGGTGTGTCTGTTCACCCAGTCTGTCTGCCAACACTGCCAATTGCTGGCATGTCATTGGGCAGCTCATTTCCAACCCATTTGTGCAGAGCATAATGGCTCTTTCTAGACCAAGTTTGTTTCACAATGTCTGATTTGTACCAATAAAAATGTATTTTAATAGCTCATCCTGGCACCTCACTGTCTCTGAGCCACCAGCTACATCTGACGGAAGAAATTGCTGCTGGGCTATGGAGCATGGCCATCAGCTCCAGTAGTCATGCATGTCCCTCTGGCCTCTTCCACTATTGGAGCAGCCCAGAGGAGCTCATTTTACTCATTTTGCCAGAGTCCTCAAGGTCTCTTTTCCTCCCTTCCTGAATTCAGGGACATTCTGGGGACATGGTCAGGACGGTCTGTGTGCTGGAAACATTACATATCTCCTTACTCCAGCTTGCAGTGATTTGTTCCAAGGCATGAGTGTAACAGACCTTGGACTGCTGCGGACAGGGTCTGGATCTAAAAAAAATGCCATAATATTTTATGTTTGTTCTTGCATTGTTTTTATGACTCATTTAAGCTTCCCTCTAGATCCTTGCTAGAGTGCTTGGTGCTTCCCACCAGCTTGCTAGGATTATAGCGGGAGGATATAATCCAGATGTGTGCCAGGAACAGGGACTACCTGCTTGAGATCTGGGGGAGGAACAAGGAAGGGGAAAGGGAAGATGGATGCTTTTCAGCTTGGCTGGGGCAAGGGGTATACCTTCAGATGGAGTCCTGAGTTGGCCACAACATGGCTATTGTTCCCTTACCAAGCAAACAACTTGGGGGACTGCAATGCAGCATTTGAGATTAATCCATCAAGTCCTTGTCTACAAGCACGTAATGGGTCCTTTCCTGAAGGTACATTGTGTGTATTGGGAGGCAGTCAAAGAGGTCCATGAGGGTCAGGAGCCCCAGGAGGACACTGCTTTGGACATGAAAGGGACCTGGCTGCTTCTGGTGACTTCAGTCCCTGCTTGTGTCTGAGCAGATGAAAGACTCTCTGTCCTGATCTGGCAGTAGAATGAAGGATGTTATTCTGGGAAGTAGATTGCTCAGTGGCCTCTTCAGAGTGCTGAAAGTTTTTTTAAAAAAAAGATCCAAACAGCTGCAGCCTTAGACCCCCCTGTACAACATTAGCCTGTTTCATTGCTTCAGAAGAAAAAAAAAAGAATTATGCAAATTGATACAATAAAGGTATTAACAGCCTTAAGAAGCAATAAAAGCACTAAGTGGACTCAGCTCCCTGAGGGGACTGTGACCACCCCCTCTCCCACGTCAGCTCTGGTAATATCTTCCCTTCTGTTTTCAGGTGCTGCTGGGCAGCACTAGGAGATGTCACTGCATCCCCTCTCCAGCAAGCCAGGAGGGACTCAGTCTCATTCCCTCTGCATATCCCAGTATGTGGCATCCAGGACCAGCATGAAAAACAGGACTTCTTAGCAATGGAGCTGTTGCTTTCTAGCAGCTATCTAGTTGTTTCTCCTCAGAGGACTCAGAAATGAACATCTAAAACACAGGCATATGAAAACGACAACTTGTCCCCCTGTCTTTGGTAATTTATGCAGTTAAGCAACCCAGCAGCCAGCTGTTGTCACCTCCCCAGAAATATGTCTCACTGTCTAGTGCTTTTTATCAGCATTTTTCTCCCCTATTGTTAAGACTAAATCAGGCTTGAGCAAACTGCTGTCTTCTCCTTTCCATCACTCCTGGCCATCCTCAGATCAGGAGGTGTGATAGGCACATACACATAGTTGTGCTTCTTGTTAATCACCAGGTCACTTGTTAATCACCACAGTGCAGATCAGGCCACTTCCAGGAAGTGTTTGCAGGTCAACAGACAGCCCACCCCAGTCCCAGCTCCTTGCAGACCCTGAGCATCTCCTGCTTTGTTAAGGGAAATCCAACTCTACTGACAAGAGCTCCACTAAAATCTCTCCTCCGTACTGGCATATCAACAAAAAAAGATCATAAAAGGGACTTGTCTTAGGAAGATAGCACTTGCTTAAACCTTAATACAACCATAATACTGTCCTGTATTCAAAGGGCATGCCTGTTCAAATACATTGGTCTAATAGATCTTCTTTCTTTAAAGGTCTCCCAGAGGGACAGAATGTGATTAAAAATGCAAGGTCTTAGCCCTACAGCCAGTTATTTTTACAACTCTTCCTGTGCTTACTCTCTTGCACAGTTCATGAGCATTAGCTGGTTTCTCTAGTCTCGTAATGCACAGGGCATGAGAGTCACTTTGGAGATGCACTCATCAGACAGCTCTCTCTCTGTTCTCCTCATATAGCCCTCCAGTTCTTGCTGAGATCCAGAGGCAAATCCAGCTTTCAGGGACCTGCCAAACAGCCCAAGATTTGCTTCTACAGCAGTGGGAAGGCTGCCATGTGGTGTAAAATGCTGCAGGCCATGTTAGGCAGGCGTATAGTGCTTCTGGGCACCAGCACAAATAGGGACTGTTTTCATGCTCCTGCTGTTGCTGAATAGGCTTTTTGGATAGAAACATTACTTACATCTCTATAATGACTGGGAAGCCTATACCAGAGAGGTAAAATGAATCCAAAGTTAGAGAGAAAAGAGGACAGAGCACCCAGAGGAGCTTGTGCTCAGATCTGCCCCTTATTTCTCTCTGCATCTAGTAGCAAGCAGGAAAGCCAGGCCCTCAGAAATCCCTAGTGAAGACATAGTCCTTCTTCAGCATGCAGCTATGCTGGGTTGGGTAGAGCTATTGATCTGACTGAGCACTTGTGGTCTCAGCTACATAGAGCAATCAGTATCAATATCCCACATCTAAAATCCCTGAGGAACCGTGAGAGTCCTTGCATGGACCTTGGCAGACTCTGGATACAGCCTGAGGTCTGTAGCACTCAGTGGTTAACTACAGTCTTCTGTGATGCTTGGCCTTCAACTTCTCTTCCTCTCACATGAAGATTCTCCCAGGATGAACAGACCTTAATTTAGTCATGGCTCAGTCCAGATACATCCTGACTTCTTTTCAAATAGCCGTAGCATTTTAAACATCTCCTTGGACTCATCCTATAGAACTGCCTCCTGTTCTCAGCTAGATTCTCTCTGCCTGCTTCCTTCTTGATCTCAGTACATATTTTGTAGAAATAAATACTCTTTCATTTATGTCCTCGTAATTTAGCCTCTGCTGCACTGAAAAACTGTCTGTGTGATTGTCATGTTTTGTTTTCCTCTGTTCCTTTGCTCCTTTTATTTTACTTTTCTACTGCTCTGAAAACATCAGTTGCTAACTCCCCCACAGAGATCAGATGAAGAAATGGGCCTGTGCTGAGAGGCTCTTGCCTCCCAGTTTGCCTATAATGTGTTTTCAATCTAAGTGGTGGAAATGTCACCGACTCTGTTTGCCGCATTCACTCTAGTGGACTGAATGTTTCTTGTTAGTGATAATGCAACTTAATCAGCTAATTATTGTGAGACATAAGTAGACACCTTTGTGTATTGAATAACTTAAG